GTACGGGACATGGGTCGTCAATGCAACATCGTTGTGCTGCATGGCGACCGTCTCGTCGCCTGGTACGGGCACTTGGATCGGCGCTGGGTTGGTGTACGGGACATGAACCGATGCAGTTTCGTTGTTGCGCTGCATGTCCACCATCGCGTAGCCTGGTACGAGCGCTTGGATCGGCGCTGGGTCGGTGTATGGGACCCAGTGGAGCTGGTCGCAGGGCGATTGCTCCTTAGTGACATCTGTGTTGGAGACGCCTACAAAGGCGAGGTAGGCGTCCACAGACCGAACAAGGTCTTTCGGGTAGTATGTCTCCACGTCCGTCTCATCCGCCGCGCCCATCAAGGGCAAGTGCGCCTGCTGGCGAATGCGGTTCATCGACAATTCGAGCTCCATCGCGCGTGCGTCGAGGTCCACCGCGTCTTCACGAGCCCGGTCCACGTTTTCAAAGAACCTAAGAACATGTCTCACCTCGCATTCGAGAAGGCACAGACAACGTACGTGCCGTTGTGGCCGATGCGGTTCTCGTCGTGGAAGACGACGTGGCCTTGCCGCGACGGCGAGTAGATGTCGTAGCCGTGCGTCCAGAGCTGCATCGAGCGCAAAAACTCTTCCCCGAGGAAGACCCAGCGCAGACGCGCATCGAGGGGCACCCGCGTCTGCGCGTGGCACTTGCTAAACTGAAAGCCCGCGCCGACAAACGCGCCGAGCTGCGGCGTGCTCGAGTTGTCGAGCAAAATCGAGCTGTAGATTGGCACAATCGCGGGCGCCGGATGCTCAAAGTAGCAAATGTGACGCGTCTGGGTCACGGGCGGCGTGAGATTGGGCCCGATCCATTCAAAGCCACGCGGGTACACGGAGAGGACCGCCATCTCGTTCTCGGTGCGCGTCCAGTCGGCGACGAGTTCGTCGTCCCAGTTTGGTAGAAACTGCATGTGGGCGTCGGTCAAGAGGCAAAAGGCTTCGTCTTGGATGAGCGCATTAAGACGCACGCGCGCTGCGATCGGACCCGTCGACGCATCCGCGTCACGTGCATCGACGCGGATGCGATCTTGGTACCGGCACGTCGTGTCGGTGGGCCAGTGCGCGGCGGCAAGTTGGCAGTAGGCGTCGACGCACGCAACGTCACCGGCGCGGGTTTGATCGACGACACCAATCACAAGGGATTCGGGGCGTGACGCGCGCGACAGGGCCGTGAAGAGCGTGAAGCCGCAGCGGTTGCCGTCGCGGTACGAGGGCAGTCCAATGAACGTCTCGTAGTTTGCAGGGACGATAGGTCGAGGCGGACGAAGTGCTCTCTGCGTCGCGTTCAACGGCACATGCTGCGACGCCGGGTCGAGCGTGTAGCGCTGGCCATGGACAAAGCCGCTCGAGTTTTTGAGGTCCCACACGAACGACGACGACATGCCTCCGGGCGTCGATGCAATGTAGAAAGTGGCAACGAGGGGCGCACGACCCTTCGCAAGGACCGTCTGGTCAAGCGGCTCTGCCAGCTTGGCAAAACCGCTGGACGCCACCAGACGGTGGAGATCTATGAGCCTTCGAAGACGCGGTAGAGCATCTTCACCGTTGCGCAGCGAAAGCTCATCGAGCGATTCGATTTCGCTCCTTGGCAGAGCTCCCGACGCTCGGTGCCAAGCCAATTTCGCTCGACTTCGACGCTTCAATAATCCAGTGTGACGATCGCAAAGCGTTCGATAGGATTGGTGTGACGCGCCGTGCGTGTCCTACCGTTGCTGGCCTTTAACTGGACCGCACTGCAGATGCGCCGAACACTGCAAGTGTTCTACTACGTAGTACTAACTGATGTACGGTCTTTACGCACCAGAGCGTCCGGTTAATTGGTTGCCCGTATCCGGATACTGCAATGTCACTGGACGCGTTCTCTGGGGATCGCTTGACGCGTCGCTCATCGCTCATTGAGACGACCCTTGGTGTGCATGCTACCTGGTCCCTCGAACAATCTCGAACCAAGCCCACTAACATAGCCGACGCGTAGGAGACTCCTACGCGACAGCATCATCGGCATGCAGCTGACCACAACTGCGGTACCGGTGGCGGGAAGTCCCGAGAAGACGCTCGCTCGCTTTGAAGCAATGATCGCCGAGCGACCGCTCAAGGCCGCGTCGCAGAAAAACCAGAATCGAGTCCGCCGCGACAGGGCTCTGGCAGCGTCACGCACGTCGTACTGCCGGCTGTCACCACCACCACCACCAGCAGTCCGCTTAAGCCAGTGAAAGCCCTCAAGTCTCCAGCGCCCGGTGTCAAGGACACGGTCGACGCGGATCGTCGCATCTTGCTCCAGCCGCTCTTTGGCCCGTACCCGCGCGACCACGTGCTTGAAGTGTGCCGCATATTCGTCCGCATCGACGTCGACAACAGCGGCGTCATTGAGACGAGCGAGTTTGTGGAGAAGTTGTCGCAACTCGAAGGCGACGACTGGCGCGACGCCCTCTTCACGTACACCTCTTCCATTGCGATCTCGAGGTGGAGCTAGGGGTAGGGTCTTCCGCGACCTCGACCAGGACCACAACGGCCTCCGCAAGTTCAGAGCCGACAAACGCCGCTTGTACGTCAAGCATCCCGAGCGCAGCATTGCCGATCGATGGCGGCTCGCCGGCATTATCAAGATCTTTCAGCAGTACGACGCCAACGCGAACGCGAGCTTGGAACTCGACGAGTTTATCGAGCTCCTCCGCGATATTTTTTGAAACCATCTATTGAAAAATGGTCAAAATCGACTTGGAGCTGAATCGACTCTTGGGTTTAACCCTCCAACGCCTTAAGCCCGTTCAAGTTCACACGTGTCGTCTTCGCCCTCGGTGGCCACGCGGGTATAGGCTACCGCTTGGCGGCGACAGCGCCGCACGCAGCCACCCACCACCGCCGCAAGTGCCACGACAACCACGCCAGCCACAAGGCACACCGATGCAGCATCGTTTTTGCGCTGCATGTCGGCCATCTCGTAGCCTGGTACGAGCGCTTGGATCGGCTCTGGGTTGGTGTACGGGACCCAGTGGAGCTGGTCGCAGGGCCAGTGGTCCTTGGCGAGATCCGTGTTGGAGACGCCTGCAAAGGCGAGGTAGGCGTCCACAGACCGAACAAGGTCTTTCGGGTAGTATGTCTCCACGTCCGTCTCATCCGCCGCGCCCAGCACGGGCAAGTGCAGCTGCTGGCGCACACGATTCATCGACAAGTCGCGCTCCGTGTCATGTGCGTCAGGGTCGAGCACATTTTCATCAAACCTAAGACGGCTTCAAAACCACGTTTGACAAGACGATAAGGACAACGTACGAGCCATTGTGGCCGCGGTGGGACTCGTCGTGGAAGACGACGTGGCCTTGCCGCGACGGCGAGTAGATGTCGTAGCCGTGCGTCCAGAGCTGCATCGAGCGCAAAAACTCTTCCCCGAGGAAGACCCAGCGCAGACGCGCATCGAGGGGCACCCGCGTCTGCGCGTGGCACTTGCTAAACTGGAAGCCCGCGCCAATGAACGCGCCGAGCTGCGGCGTACTCGAGTTGTCGAGCAGAATCGCTCCAAAGTCGGGCACCGTCGACAGCGCGGCGTGGGCAAAGTAGCAAATGTGACGCGTCTGGGTCACGGGCGGCGTGAGATTGGGCCCGATCCATTCAAAGCCACGCGGGTACACGGAGAGG